CTTCCTTTTTTCCTTTTTAAAAATGGGGGTTATGTTTCCCCTTTTCCCATCAGTGGGAACTTCCCCAGACTGCCACGACTTCTCAAATATGATGGATAGTGGTTTGGCAACTTCATCCACCATTTCCCTCAGGACTCACAGATGAATCTCATCAGTTCCCATGGACTTGTGCACCTTCAGGTTCCTTAGAACCTGATCTTCCTCTACAGTGGGCAGTTCCTCATTCTCCTACTCCCTGTCTTTGCCTTCTATGACTTGGGCGGTGTGGCTAGAGCCCTTGCCGGTGAAGACCAAGGCAAAAAAGCTATTGAGTGCCTCAGTCTTGTCCATGTCCCGGATGACCAGGTCTCCTGTTTCCTTCCAGAATTTTCCAGAAGCAATTGCATCTTATGAAAAGGACTCACACTGGAGCAGGGGAAAAGTGTGAGGTGGAAGGACAGGCAGAGAGGAACTGTTACTACTGACTGTAACCCCTCATTCCCCATCCCCCCTGTGCTACTTGGGAGTGAATCTGAGCCTGGGAAAAGGAGGGATGGGGAAAGGTGCTGTTGGTTTTTTTTTTTTTGTCTTTCTTTCACACCATCCAAATGGTCTCCAGTATTGGTTGTTTTTTTTTTCCTGGCTATATTCCACTGACCCTAATGACACATGGAAATTCTGTTTTATTTATTTTTTTCTTTTCATTAGAGCTATTCTGTTAATTGAAAAGGAGAGAGAAAATAGATGTCTACACCAGTGGACCCTGGCACAATGCCTCATCCCGGTCCTTCCCCAGGACCAGGTCCTTCACCTGGACCAATTCTAGGACCTAGCCCAGGACCAGGGACATCTCCTGGTTCAGTACACAGCATGATGGGGCTGAGTCCTGGACCACCCAGTGTCCCACATCCTGTGCCAACAATGGCATCTACCGATTACCTACAGGAGGGCATGCACCAATGGCATAAGGTAATTTTGTTTTTAATAAATGATATTTTTTCCTAGACTTCTCTCCATTGATTAAAAAGCATACTTTTAATACATTTAGACCTGCAAAACAAGCTATTGCACTTCATATATCACCTGCAAAACTGCAGCTAATCTTTGATTCCATCTTTATTACTAAAGATAGTATACATATTGGATCAAAGACAGCCTGTTTGTTTTTAATGGACCAGTTTGAACTACAGTGCTAGCAATTATGCAAATCTTAACTTGTGAACTGCACATTTCAATAGAATAGGCCTTGCTAGAGAATAAAATTGAAGTGCTACAAGACCATTCTAGTAGTTAGACCTACATGTTACATCTTGTAAGGTACTTTTTCGACATCTGTTTGGAACTATTATTTTTCCATATTATATTTTTCTGGGGTGACTTTTTTTTTCATAAACATTTATTGTTATCATTATCTCTTAAAAAGCTTAAATATTTGTTTCATTTTCCATGTCAATTTAAAAATTTTTGTCAAATTAAAAAGACTCCATCTCATTAAGAAATTTAAAACTATTTAATTTAAAGCATGTGAATAATCTGACTTGAGTGCTTGTCATACTTAAATTTACGTGTGAGCTTACACAATTTCCTTTGCTATAAGGAAATATGTCTGAAATTTTCTTTTTTAAGACATTTTCTTACTAATTCTCATCTTTAATTATGAAGTAAATTTATGGTAACTTCACTTTTTCAGGTGTTTTACCTTCATAAATATGCAATAACTGCTTACAGAAGCAAGATATCATTTCAAAACCTTTTGGTGATTATCATTGGTGTCACTTGGAATTGTTGTTCTTATTGCTATAAGAATATAGAGAAATCTTCAAATTAAAATGAAAATTTATTTACTTTTAAAACATTTTTGAACTCTTTCTGAAATGGCGACTTCTTCAACTTGCCTTTTTCATATATGGCTCAATCTTAGTTATTAAAACAATGATTTTTATGTCCAGTCAATAAGGACATGACATCTACAGTATGAAAAACACATCATTAAAACTTTTGATAATACAAATACATCTAAGGTGGAGGGGAGTCACAGTCCCAAGTTGTATTGAACTGCTGAAATCATCATCTTTGAGAGGTTGGTACATTCAATACTTGAATTTTATGCACATGAATCTTGAAGCATCAAGTTAGTTTATTTGTTAGCCTCAAGTTGTGCCAGGGGAGGTTTAGACTGGTTATTAGGAAAAATTTCTTCACCAAATAGGTTGTCAAGCATTGGAACAGGCTGCCCAGGGAAGTGCTTGAGTCACCATCCCTGGAAGTATTTACAAGACGTGTAGACACATCACTTAGGGATGTGGTTTAGTGGTGGACTTGATAGTGTTAGGTTAACGGTTGGGCTCAATGATCTTAAGGGTCTTTTCCAACCTCAATGATTCTATGATTCTATGATATTAGACATTTGCAATTGCCATTTCCTTGTTTGTTGGGTCAGTGACTGCTCAAGATGCCAGCATTCTGGTGAATACCAAAAACTCAGTATGTAATCTGGGTTTACATTCTTCAATTGTCTCTCTTTTGAGAGATTTCTGAACTGCACAAGAGAGGAAGCACCTGGGATTCTGCAGTAGAACAACTGAATACTCAGTACAGTAAGTGTAACTTCTACGTTAGGCTTCACCTTGTACATTCATCAGGAGCTGTATGCTACGTCAGCAATGGAAACAAATACGTACCACAAAGCTTTTATAGAGATTTTAGGAGCATCTTGGAGAAGTTCTGTGTTCCAGAGTACAAGTTATGCCTTTGAGATACTTCAAGGCTTTTTTAAAAATTTACCATGACCATAGAGTCCAGATAGTTGATCTAAAGGTGACCAATCAGTATAGCTACAATTAAATTACTTCTCCTTCTTTCTACTGATTTTGCAAATGAGGCTAAGACTGTAACTACACAAGTATTTGTTTTAGCAGCACTGTTGACTTAAACAGCCTTGTTAAGCCAGGCTGCCAGTTAATTTGTTGTAGTACACTTGTGTGTGTGCATGACTGAAGTAGACAAAATATGCTCTGATTCATGCAGATATTTGTAGGATGGGCATATTTGTGCATATATATGCAATGGGATATGATTCTCACTTTTAAAATTGACAAACTAACCAGTAAACTACCTTCATTCTGTATTGGATACTTGACTAAATTACAGAGAATAATATAATGCATACAGAATTTGAAAGAATCCAAAGTATGCAGAAGTATATGAAAAAACTGCTTGATATAAGGATTTACTAAATCCTGTAATAGGGGAGAGGCAAGGCTGCCGGTGCTCTGTGTCTCCAGATCTAGCCAGTTGTGACAGTGAGCGTGTGTTCCTAGTAGGCACATATGCACACAATACACATATACATACAGCTGCACAGATCAACACCAACAGAAAACACTGCACTTGCAAGTACAACCAGCACCAATAGCCTCATCCCATTCTGCTCTCTAAGCTGATGTGGATGAAAACCTGTTAGTGGAAAATATATACGATATGGATCCTTCCAGGAGCTGGGCTCAGACACTCAGTCAACCCATTAGCTGTCCCCTGGATCCCCTGGTCTTCCAGTTGCTGGCACCTTGGCATGCAAGCCCTCAAGACCTGCAGCCTCATTCCATTTCCTGGTACTTGACTTCCCCCCCCCCCGCACTCATGGACACACACGCTATAGATCCTTGTAATAACTGGCCATAGACAATCTATCAGTAGCTGGTCCCTGGATCACCTGGTTTCCCAGTTGCCTCACACACACACACACGCAAATAGATCTCTCTGGTAACTGGTCCAGACTATGGCCTGACCAGTAGCTGACCCTCATACCCCATCATCTCTCCAGTAGTTGGCTTGGACCTCCTGGTTCTTCTAGTATCCAACTCTCAGACCCTCTGGTGTCTCCAGTATCTGATCCAGGCTTATACTCTGGCTCCCAAACCTCTTATCCTACTTGCTGGCTAATTTGGCTTGATATATGTTAGCAATCACACACTGACATACATACCCATACAAGAAGCATGCACTCCAGTCTCTCCAGTTGCTGGTACCACAGACACATGGACCCCTGAGACTTGTGGTTCCCCACTCCAATCACTGGCACTTAGACCTCCGTACACACAGACACATGCACACAGAGTTGATAGCCCCCTCACCCAGGGGGTGAGTTTAATGATATCATGGTTTAGACCAAATTGGCTACGGGGGACCTGGGGGACCCCAGATGGGACCGACAGATGCTCTCCTCTACCCCTCTTCAAAGAGAGAGGCAGAGAAGGGAAAAAGAGACTTAGGAGTTTAGAAGGAACTAAACTACTTTCATGAAATATTAATAATAAAATAAAAAGAAATAATGAAATATATACAAAACTGTATCAAGCTCTCAGATTGACAATCACGACACCAGCTGGCACTGGGGCAGTCCCAGGCTGGATTCAGTGATGGATGGGAACTGCATTCCGGATCTGCATTCCGGATCGGGATCAAAGGCAGACGAACAGACAGAGTCCTCCTCAGACGTCGGCCATTGAAGAAAGAGAGGGCTGACCCTTTGATCCCTCAGCCTTTATACTGAGCATGAGGCAGATGGGATGGAATACCCTCGTTGGTCAGTTTTGGGTCACCTGTCCTGTCCGCTCCTCCCCGCAGGTGGGACCCCACTGTGCTTTTCCGCTTCCGACCCTCCAACGGGGCAAATAACAAAGTTGGTTGGCCTTGGTTGTTATAGCAATAAGTATAAGCACCACCCACCAAGTACATCCAGGTCCTTGGGCAAAAACAGTCCCACGAATGGGTTTGCTTTTGCCTGAAGCAGGAAAAACCCAAACAGTTTTCCCTAACAT